GTGTATGCAGACCTTACCCCTAACCGGAGAGGTAGAGAGCTTGTTTCATGGTCTAATAGATTTTAACACATATTTCATATTATTTAACAAGCATCTAAGAAGTTCCTCTACTTCAATGTTCCATTATATTGACATTTTTTATTGTTAGACGTGTTGAGATCGAAATAACATGGTGCATGCAGAAGCTAACATTAATACAAAGTTGGTGGACGGTAAATTAGACAAGAAAGATAATATACTAAAAAATAGGATATTATAATGGGGTTGGTCAATTGACCTACATATAAAACTAATATAAAAATATAAAAACTATTGAGAGAAAAATCTTCCATAAACAAGACTCTTTAATAACGACATTCTAGATGTTATTATTGTTGTTAGTGTGAGAAGCAGAGATCCTCAATTTATAGATGGGCAAAACTTGTGTTCCAGGAAAAGGATAAAGCATATTAAAGAGATTTATTCCTTTTAGGAGTTTTATCTTCCTTCAAGAAAGAGAGTCCTAATAGATTAAAAATTCAGACCAAAATCCTAACAAGACGTTAGTCTCTATTATCAGCTCGTAGAAGAGTAGAGATGCCAATTTTGCCTCCTAAATCCAAATTAGCCGAGACTTTAATATAGTATTGAACACCAGGTAAAAACCAAAAAAGAATAGAGCTCAAAAACAAAACGAAAATCACGAAAAAGAGATGACCAAAGTCACTATATAGCCATTAGCCCCTCGCCGCCTCATCCACCATTCCACTTGCTTTTATCTAACAGCTTGTTTGGATGGTTGTTCCCGTATCATATTGTATTGTTATCACAAAACAATATTTGTTTTGATTGTTTTATTAAAATTGATTGTAGTTAAATACATTATACCAGAACAATGAAAAGTCCCGTTTTTTGAAACAACCGATTTGGTATAGTGGGATTGTTTCCTATTTTTCTTTCCAATTATGTCCTAACTTATTACTCCACAATTCTATTTTACCCTTTAGCATTTTTTGCTATTTTAACTCCAAATCTCCAACCTATGACCTACTTTGTTTTTTTGCAAGAACTTCTGCCGCCAACGTGAAAGGTGTTTTGCCGCCTTCTGTTTTATTTTTTCTCCTAATTTGCGTTTAACTCAATTCTAATTAGTTGTGCTCCTTTATTTTGCCTTTTTATGTCTCGCTCCTTTATTCTGCTTTCTTAAGGTGTTTTGCCTTCTTCTGTTTTGTTTTCTAAAATTATTTTTATGCATAACTTTTAATAAATTTAATATTTAAACAATTCAAAGTATTATAGTAAACGTATCAGTTACAGTACAACACGATACAGTCAAACCAAACAGCAAAATATTATTTAACAATAACAAACAATACAATCTACTCAAACATTGTATTCATAAAACGATTCGATACAATACAGTATATTATAAAAAAAATAGGGAACAATGATCCAAATAGAGTGTAAGAGTTTGCAAAAACTTATTTTATTTTGAGCTTTCGCAAAAAGTGTTTTTCCAGCTGCTTTTTGAAGAGTTCCAAATATTACGAAAACTCAAAAACTGAGTTTGAAATTTTTAAAACAAGTTTTTTTTTTTTTTTTTGGTGTGAAACAACTCAAACAAACACTTTCTTTCAAAAACTGAACTTTGCAAGCTCCAAAACAAAAGCCAATAATTAAAGGAAAATATGTTTGTAAAACAAACTTTGTTTACATAAAAGGAATTTTTGTTAGGTGTTGTCCTGATTTTCTTACCATATTTGGTTTTCATATATCTCGAAGACAATGACAACATATTTACCATAATTGGGTTTTCTTTTTTGTAGAAGGAAATTATAATTCTCCTATATTTGGCTAGTCTTTTTTCTTGTAGGTAAAAGTTTGGACTTCTATAAATTGAAGATCCTTCCTTCTCATTCAGTAGCATCCACAATGTAGCCATATGGGGTTTGAGAGTCGTGTTTAGGGAGAGAACTTTACGGGACAAGTGTTAGTGTGTCACTTGTGTTTGCCTCTTCGTGAGGTTGTTCTCTTGATATTTTATACTCTCTTTTTATATAGTGGATTGCTCATCTCCGTTGTGGACGTAGGTTAGTTGACCGAACCACGTTAAATGTTTGTGCCTCTTTTTGGTATATTTCTCTTTTGTTGTCGGATTTATCGTCGTTCAAGGTTTGCCTTCCTAGATTCCGCATGACACCTGATTTTTCGGCCCTAACAAGTGGTATCAGAGCGAGGTTCAAGACAGGTTCATCTTGGCGGGTTCAGTTCTAGCCGCAATATATTTGACGATAATCATGATTTTTGTCTGAGAAATTTGACCGGAGTGCTACGCACGTTGAGACAAACTTTGTGGTGGAGATTTGGTGATGCGACTTGTTGAAGGCTATGTGAAGAAGGTGGATCAAGTTTATTTTGTCGGAAAATTCAGGCCAAGGGGGAGAATTGTTAGGTGTTTGTCCAGGTTTTCTTACCATAATTTGTTTTCCTATCTCATGAGGGAAAGGACAACATATTTACCATAATTGAGTTTTTCTTCTGAAGGAAATTATAAATCTCCCATATTTGGCTAGTCCCTTTTCTTGTAGGAAAATGTTTGGACTTTTATAAATTGAGGATCCTTCCTTCTTATTCAGTAGCATCCAGAATATAGCCATATGGGGTTTGAGAGTCGTGTTTAGGAGGAGAACTTTACGGAATTAGTGTTAGTGTATCACTTGTGTTTGCCTCTTCATGAGGTTGTTCTCTCGATACTTTGTACTCTCTTTTTATATAGTGGATTGCTCATGTTAAAACAGAAAAAATCAGGTGTCATGTGGAATCTAGCAAGGCAAACCTTGAACGACGACAACAAAAGAGAAAAAAGAGACACAAACATTTAACGTGGTTCGGTCAACTGACCTACGTCCACGGCAGAGATGAGCAATCCACTATATAAAAAGAGAGTATAAAATATCGAGAGAACAACTTCACGAAGAGGCAAACACAAGTGACACACTGACACTTGTCCCGTTTCCCCCTAAACACGACTCTCAAACCCCATATGGCTACATTGTGGATGCTACTGGATGAGAAGGTAGGATCCTCAATTTATAGAAGACCAAACGTTTTCCTACAAGAAAAAGGACTAGCCAAATATGGAAGAACTATATTTTCCTTCTAGGAAAAGAAAAACCCAATTATGGTAAATATGTTGTCCTTTCCTTCATGAGATAGGAAAACCAATTATGGTAAGAAAATCTGGACAAACACCTAACTATTCTCCCCCTTGACCTGAATTTTCTAACAAAATAAATTTGATCCACCTTCTCCATATAGCCTTCAACAGGTCGCATCTCCAAATCTCCACCGCCAAGTTTGTCTCAACGCGAGTAGTACTCCGGTCAAATTTCTCAAACAAAAATCATAATTATTGTCAAATACGTTGTGGATAGAACTAAACCTGCCAAGATGAACTTGTCTTGAACCTCGCTCTGATACCTCTTGTTAGGACCAGAAAAATCAACTGTCATGCGGAATCTAGCAAGGCAAACCTTGAACGACGATAAGTCCTGTCACACCCTTTTTTCCCACCCCCAAAAAGATATGTATGTATGGATTATGGGTTAAATAGTTTTTCCAATTAAAGTGACAAAACTTGAGTAGGGATTATTTTATTGTTCAGAGTCGCCACTTGGAATTGATATTTTCGGTGTTCCAAGTCACCATTTATTTGAATCCCTAGTCAAAGGAAGGTTTGACTCTATTTTTATCGGTCCGCAAAAACAAAGTTCGGGTAAGAAATTCTGTTGACCGGGGAGAAGGTATAAGGCACTCCCCGAGTCCCGTGGTTCTAGCACGGTCGCTTTATTGACTTAAAACTTGGCTTGAGCTAATTTTGGACAAACTGTGATTTATATGTATTTTCATGTTTTACCTATCCGCTTTTAATTATTAAAGTTGTTAAAAAAAAGTATGATATAAATAGTATAAAATTGTCCTAACCGCGCTACGAAAGCGAATATGCGACCAAAACGAATTTTATTAATTTTGTCGTAACAGCGCTACGCAAGCGAATCCGCAGTTATGACAAAGGATTATTAGCACGCTATTATTTTCAGAAAAAATTACTGTATTTGTGCTTTTGAGAAAATTATTTATTAAAAGGTTACTATCGCTATTAAAAAGTTACTATCGCGCTACGCGAGCGAATCCGCGAGTATGGTGAAAGGATTAGAAATTTAACTAAAACTATAGATATAGTAAGAGATTAGTGAATTAAATTATTGAATGTTAAATATCACGCCACGCAAGCGAATCCGTGAATGAAAAGATTTAAGCGTGCCTACTGATTGCCTAGCAATTCAACTAATAAAAAAGAAAATGTGTTAATTAATTAATAACAGAAATCTGATTTCTATTATTATCTTCTAGCCTTATGGTTGGAAAAATTGTGCAAATAAATGTTGGACCAACTCAATCTTTTTTAAAGAAATATGCCAACTTCTTGTTAAAAGGAGAAATGGGCCAGCTTATGGATTTTAGAAGATGGGCCAGCTATTTATTTATTGAGAAAGTGGGCCAATTTGCTTATTTAGTTATGGTATTGAGCCAACATCTATAAAATAAATGGACAAAATATTTATAGACTTCTTAAAGGCATTGGGCCTATTGGACAGAATATGCCTTGGCCCATTATTGAGCTCCGAAAATGGGCATAAGCTGAAAGCCCAATGAATTTCAAATGCTGGTTTACTAAGATAGCCCACCTGGGCTAAATTGCGAGTCTGGCCTCTTTTGTTCTAAGCCATTAACCCTTATTTTTAACTAGCAATTTCAAACACCTATTTAAGATCTAGCCACTTTCTACAAAAAAAAATCTAAAATCCTAGCAGAGATGGTCACATGTAAAATCTGAATTTTATCACAATAAATAAAGGTTTCAAGCATGGCTCTTTTGTTATTTTTCTTTAAAGAATAGCCTATCATAAACTGGCCAGAATTGCAAAGGTGCAAAAGGAGTCTTTAAGCACATTGCAACCTACTTGAAACATCTCATTTTATATGCATCAAAACTATAATAGATAGTAAAGACAAATAACACATGAATAAAGAGTGTTTGATCAACCAAGGATTTATTTTTTACATATGAACTACAACAAGATATATTTTGACAATAAAGAAATTTAGCTAAGCACTCATTTATTTAAATGGATATGCTCCCAACAATCAAGATGAGTTCCAATCTTCTTGTTAATGTGAAAATATCTGCAACATAAGATTAAAGAGTTACCTGAGTCGCAGAATAATAAATACAACAACGAAGAATGGAAGCTCAGCAACTAAAGCAGCATAAAAACAGCAGCAAAACAGCAGAAAACCAGCAGCAAATCCATGTTAAAACAGCCCGAAAACTTCGAGAAGAAACCCAGAAACGAACTCTAAAGAGGACTTATACTTTTCTAAAAGTTTGCACTCTAAGATTCACTCCTAAAGCTCACCATTTCAGCTTACTTTTCATGTGTTCAACTGCTGAAATTTTTTATGTTTTTGTGTGTTTAAGCAATTCTAAAAAATGTCTATGGAAGTGTGATCCAGTCCCTTATAATGAAGAAAGGGCAGCCCTTAAATAGGCAAAGAAAAGCCAACTTTTTGGACAGATTTTGGTTCAACAAAAATCTGTCCAAAAGAGGCTAAATTTGTGTGCTAAAGGCTGTCCAAAAGGTGAAAGGACAGCCTGAAATCTGCTATGGCAGGAGCCAAAGGGTCACTTCAGCCACCCTACTAAAAGCAAGCTACTAGTACCCTACAAAATATCTAAATTTCAGATTTTAACAACACCAATATCAACCTATTGATTCAAATTAAACCAAGTATTAAAACATGTAATTAAATTTCAACACATGTATTATGAACCAACATGAGCAAACAAAAATTAACTATTAAAGCCAAACGGAACGCACGATATCGCTGAAGAGATTTAACAAAAGACAAACATAATCAAGAAATGGATTAGAATAAAGAAACAAGAGCAGAAACTAACTCTAAACTAAAAACCCAAAACTAAAAGAAAAATTGAAAATTAATAACGGGCGGGGATTGCGATTTTACCATATACTCGAGCATCCGGGAGACGACGATAGGCAGTGGTACGACTTTCGAGCAAGCTTCTATTGTTGATATTCTTGAAACCAAAAAATTACGGTGAATCCGAGTCCGGTTTCAATAATATCAACGACACAACCTTGCTCGAGGCCGGTTAGAGAAAAGAAACGGGCGGCAATGGGCGGCAGTGGCGGCGGCGCTAGGGCAGTGGTGGTGGCGCTAGGGCGGCGTGGGGTTTTTTTGATTTTTGAGTCGGAGATATGGAAAGAGTGGGAGAAGAGGAGGCCGGTGGTGTAAAATTTTGGAGTTTTGGGGTGATGGGCGGCGGCTAGGGTTTCGGTTAGGCTTAGATCTACGGAGATTGGTGGAGATTTGGAGGATATGAGTGGTATAGGTAGAAAGAGGAGGAAGAGGGGAAGAGATGGTAAAATTTTAGGGTGGATTGGAGGGTTGCCGCCGGCGGCGGCGATTTCCGGCCGGTGGCGACGGGCGGCGGTGGGGCGGCGTGGCAGAGAGGGGGGAGAGAGTGATAAGAGAGAAAAAGAGAAAAGAATTATGGGTAGAAATGGGGAAATTTTTCAGATTTTGGAGGCTTTAAATACCTAGGCCAAGAGTCAATGAGATCCATTGGATCAAGATGGAATGGAGGGGTAAGATTTGATCTTGTTTCATTTAGTGAAACGACGTAGTTTTATTATGAAACTACGTCGTTTTGATCCGGGTCTTGGCAAGCCATCAATTGGTCTGGGTTGGTGCAATTGGGCCAATGATTTGGTCCGATTTTTTAGCCCATTTCACTTTAAAATAACACTAGCCCAAAGTTTTGTTCCTCTCTTAATTAAATCATAATAAAACTCTCAAAACCTACATACACACAAATAAGAACACACACACACACACACACACACACACACACACACACACACACACACACACACACACACACACACACACACACACACACACACACACACACATATATATATATATATATATATATATATATAGAATAAAAAGACATGGCAAAAATTAAGCATTTACAAGTCCGACAACAAAAGAGAAATATACTAAAAGAGACACAAACATTTAACGTGGTTCGGTCAACTGACATACGTCCACAGCGGAGATGAGCAATCCACTATATAAAAATAGAGTACAAAATATCGAGAGAACAACCTCACGAAGAGGCAAACACAAGTGACACACTATCACTTGTCCCGTAAAATTTTCCTCCTAAACACGACTCTCAAACCCCATATGGCTACATTGTAGATGCTACTGAATGAGAAGGAGGGATCTTCAATTTATAGAAGTCCAAACCTTTACCTACAAGAAAAAGGACTAGCCAAATATAGGAGAATTATAATTTCCTTCTACAAAAAGGAAAATCCAATTATGGTAAATATGTTGTCCTTTCCTTCAAGATATATGAAAATCAAATATGGTAAGAAAATCAGGACAACACCTAACAATTCTCCCCCTTGGCCTGAATTTCTGATGAAATAAACTTGATCCACCTCCTTCACATAATCTTCAACAGGTCGCATCTCCAAATCTCCACTACAAAGTTTGTCTCAACGTGAGTAGCACGCCGGTCAAAATTCTCAGACAAAAATCTTGATTATCGTGAAATACGTTGCGGCTAGAACTAAACCCGCCAAGATGAACCTGTCTTGAACCTCGCTCTGATACCACTTGTTAGGACCGAAAAAATCAGATGTCATGCGGAATCTAGCAAGGCAAACCTTGAACAACGATAAGTCCGACAACAAAAGAGAAATATATCTAAAGAGACACAAATATTTAACGTGGTTCGGTCAACTGACATACGTCCACAGCGGAGATGAGCAATCCACTATATAAAAATAGAGTACAAAATATCGAGAGAACAACCTCACGAAGACGCAAACACAAGTGACACACTAACACTTGTCCCGTAAAGTTCTCCCCCTAAACACGACTCTCAAACCCCATATGGCTATTGAATGAGAAGGGAAGATCCTCAATTTATAGAAGACCAAACATTTTCCTACAAAGAAAAAGAATAGCCAAATATGGAAGAATTAATTTTCCTCCTAGGAAAAGAAAAACCCAATTATGATAAATATGTTGTCCTTTCCTTCATGAGATAAAAAACTCAATTATGGCAAAAAAATGTGGACAAACACCTAACAAGCCTAAGCAAATTGGAACAAACTAAGGCAGCGGTACTAAACAAAGTATATAAGAGCTGAAAGAATGTCTGTCTCTTGACAAGTACCACATTCAAATGGCAAAATTAAATGTTGGCTTTTATTTTTCTAAGAGGAAAATATGAAAAACTGTAAGCTTTAGTGTGTGGGATCGAGACATGTTTAAAAACTTTGGAAAAGTGCAATGGCATTGCGTGTAAACCACAAATCATAAAGTTGCATTTCTATTAGAAAATATAAAGGTATCATGTGCTGCTGATCTGTAAAAGAAGTATTCAAGAAACTGGCTGCTGCGTAGATGCCAACAGGTATCAGCTCAGTCATTTTCCTCCCTATCCTTTTGTTAATTCTCATTGCCCCAACGCTCCCCATAGTCCTCCGGACAGGTAGAACCGGATTCAAGATTTAAAAATTATTAGTTCTTACGGTAATCTCAAATAATATATAATAATAATTAAATAAAAGTCAATATATATAAATATTTAATTAATTTCTAATATAAATATAAAGTTTAAGCAAAAATTATTAGGTTCAGGTGAACCCAAAAATATACTATATCAGATCCACGTCGGCCCCCTCCAAGTTGGAGTCTTTTCTTCTTTTACTTTTTCTTATTTTTTATTATACTGGTCCTTTCATTTTAATAATGCCAACATTTTGAGAATTAAGAGCATGTTTAGTCCACTTGTAGAGTGTATCAAGTCTTATGTTAGATTAACTTAGAGACAGTGAAATCATTTTTATGTAAACTAAGGGCATTAGTTGGGTTAATTTATAAGTGCTCCCACAGCTCAAAGATGCGCATATAGAACAAGAACAACGTAGAGATTCCTAGTTAGTTTCTTTATAGATAGTAGACCCTGCAGAAAAAAAGTAAGCGACTATATATATGTAAAGCTACAAACTTTAAGTCACAACTTTTAGATTTGCCTTTTGGAGTGGCCCAATTTTAATTTCTTCTTTGGAAAAGTTGCTATCACACGAGGCAATATCCAGTGCATACATACACAGATCCCACGGACCCATTAAAATCACTAGTGAGTAAAAATAATACTTATATTTTGTATTAATAAAAAGAAAAATAGAATGGGCCAATGAAATTGAAGCAACTATTAATACTTTTCTAATACTGTCAAGCAAATGGAAATTTTAACTTTTAATTTGCTCCAATTGGAAGTATCCCAAGAGCTTTGGTGCGTATATAACAAGAAAATGACCTAAATCTTTCTGGTAAAGTGGTACTGGTTCAATGCTCTCTTTTTTGCCTACAACTACAATATAATCAGTTTTCCGCTATTCGTTTTTAACTACAGATTCCATGATAGTGAACTAAAAGTCCATATCAGAACACAATACAATATACTTTCTGGCCTTCTCAGGCTTTTTACGTAGTTTAGCCTAATTGGTTCTCTCCATCTGTTGGGTTATAACTGCAACCTTAAAAAGGAAATTTATTTGGACTAGCGACTGGCAGCTAACGTCCTGCAGTTTGTACTCTATTCGTAGTTATTTCATTAAAAAAAAAAAATTGGTGGTTGTTGTTGATGAACTTATGTATAGGATAGCAGCTTATGATCGAGACCTCTATCTAGCTAGTTCAATAGAATTTAATTTCTATATACTGACGGCGGATAACTTTTTAACATCATAAGATCAAAAAATAAAATGCGTAAGTTACATGCTATAACTTGTATAAAATACACTAATAGAGCAAAAAAATTTACACTTTCAGTACATATAAGTTCAATTAATCCATTTCGATAAGTTATATCAAATCACAAACATAATTAGAATTACTAGTGTTTATCCCAAAAATGAGTAATAATTAAATTTGTACGCGGTTTAAAGGATATGTGGTTTAATTCAATATGAATAGTGAAGAATAACAGATAGATGAATTAAAGACAAATTAAATGATCATACCAATTGCAGTATGATGAACAAGCCTGACCTTAGATTGAACAGTAGAATTTGTCCTCGGTCGGACCCTCGGTACAAGCTCGGTCGTGAGTAAAGAATAGAACAAACAAGTAATGCCTTGAGCAGTAGCTAGAAGACAAAAGTAAACTTTTAATGCTTTGAATTGCGTGTTACAATGTGTCAGACTAAAGAAAAATTTCCCCTTTTATATAGTAGAAGAATTTCAATCCTAGTACAAGTCCTAAAAAGGTAAAAATCTTATTTTCACGGTAATTGTTGATCTATAATGAACATCGGGATTCGCACCGTAATATCCGGTTAAGGGCGAATATTACGGGCCCCTATCCGTCATACATAACCGTCCATCGTATCTCCCGAGATACAGAAGCCATACTTGGTCCGGGGCTCGTCGCCTTACCGTGTTCGATCTCCAATACATCGTTCATTCTTTGCGGTCTCGATATGAGGGGTTCCCGACCTCAATTATAATTTCGTCGATCCGTGCTTCTCCTTCGTTCTCTCACTGGGGAATTGGAGGAAACTTTGCCCCCGATTTTACCCATACACAGATAGTCCCCTTATTTTCTGGAGAGTAGGCTTATCGAAGCGACAAGAAGCGATGAATTAACCCCGGTTTCTTCAGTCGTACGTTACAAACGGGTTGGCGGGTTAGCGAAACGTCCCATCAGTCGCGTCGTTTAGACTTCGGACATGTGTCAACCACCGGTTGATTGTCCTCGAACGTGAAACATCACGCAGTGATTACTCTTTTCCTCTATAAAAACTCCGACCCTTTTTTCACCTTTTCAATTTTCAATTTTAGAACTGTTTGAGTTACCCTCGAATTCTCCACTTAACTTTAAACTCTTCAAATCTTCATACGTTGCTTTTCAGATCTTCATACCTTCATCTTCAAATCTTTAAACCTTCAAATCAGATCTTCATATCTTCATCGCCATCTTCAAATATTCATCCC